GGGTGGCTCAGGCGTTAGGCGTCTGCCTTCGGCTCAGGTCATGATCCCAGGTCCTGGGATCGAGCCCTGCGTTGGGCTCCCTGCTCTGCGGGAAGCCTGCTTCTCCCTCCCCCTCTCCTTCTATGTGTGCTCTCCCTCTCTAGCTCTCACTCTCTCTCAAATAAATAAATAAAATCTTCAGAAAAAAAAAAAAGAGATTTGCCACTTCTGATCTCCTTATTCCTGTAAGTAGATCCTCATTTCTGTCTGTTATCGTGTCCTTCTGCCTGAAGGACTTCCTTTTACATTCTTTGCGGTGTAAGTCTTCTGGTGATGAATTCTTTCAGCTTCGGTATGTCTGGAAAAGCCTTTAGTTTGCATTCCTTTTTAAAATATATATATTTATGGGCAAATACATTTTTGCTGAGATGGCAATGTTTTCTTTTCTTCTCCTTTTAGCACTTTGAAGATGTTGCTCCCTGTCGTACTGTGTGCACTCTTTGCAGTAAGAAATCTGCCGTCTCATCTTTGTTCCTCCATATGTGGTTCTTTTCCTCTGGCCGGGCTCGACATTTTCTCTTTATATTGGCATGGAGCAGTTTGTCATGACATGCTTTGGTGTAGTTTTCTGCACATTTCTCATGCTTGGGCTTCATTGAGATTCTTAGATCTGTCCATTTATTGATCTCATGAAAGTCTGTTGAGTTTTTATTCATGTTTTCTGTACCCCCTTCTCTCTCCCCTCCTCAGGAACCCAGTCACGTGTGTCAGGGTGATTGATTTGTCTGACAACTCACTGATTTGCTGGGTTTTCTTTTTTTTTTTTTCCAGTCTGTTTCTTGTGTGTCTCATTTGAATCGTTTCTGTTATTGTTTCTTTAAGTTCACTGATCTTTTTTCTATTCTAGACCTTTCTGTGTCATGGTTGATGCCATCAAGTGTGTATCTAAACTCTTCACATCTCTGTGTGAGCATGGGGCATGTTCTCTGACCCTTTCAGGTGGTTCTTGCCCAGTCTTAAGCAGTGTGTGTGCTCTGATCAGCCCTCCGCTGATGCTCAGGGGACCCTCTGCAGCTCTCTTGCCTCTGCGCACCATCCTATGGACTCTGGCCACGTTAGTTTCCCGAGCTCTCAGTTCAGGGAGTCTGCAGGCTGTGCCTGGGCTCCTTCTCTCCACATTGCTGCCTGGACGCCCCCAGGACGGCCGCCTGGGGTACTCGTGGGACTCACCTCCTATGTCTCCTGTCTCTCAGAAACCACTGCCCTTCCTTGCTTGATATCCAGGGACTTGAAGGCTAGTGTCTGTTGTATTTTGTCTGGTTTACTACTATTTGAGTAAGGAGGGTACATCCAGCAGCTGTTACTCCATCTCACCTGGAAACGAAGTCTGAACTTATTTTTAAATCACAGAATGCCCGTTCTTAAACACTTGTCCCTCTGTGTTACCCTCCAAAATAGATGCTTTTGCAATCTAGACGTGATTGTGCACCTGGTCATCCAAGCCAGCTGGTTGTTCAGGATTGGTTTTGGTTGGAAGTTGGAATGACAGCCCCATGTCTTGGTCTGGGCTCCCTAGACCGCAGAGACTGAGGAGAGAATTTAAGGTGCTTTATTTGGCAAGCGTGAACTGAGAGCAGCAGAATAGATGAGAAGGAAAGTCTGACAGGAAAGGTGGCTTTGACTGCAGGAGAAACTACCGCATGTCTGTGTCCACAGAGGACTGGTCCCCCCTGCAAGCCCTGACTGGGGGCCTGCGGGCTGTGTGACACACCAGAACTCTGGTGTCTGCCGTCCGTCACTCTGCCTGCTGGGGGGTGGGGGGCCGAGGGGCTTGTGTATGGAGAGCCACAGCCACGTGATGGAGGGGGTGTGACCAGGGTGTTGGGTTGAGCCCTGCTGCCGATCCGTCCCGGGAGGAGCGGCCACACACATCTCGTTGCCTGTTTCAGCAAGATCAGCATTAAATGGAGATTTAAAACCTTTAAAAAATATGTGATGGCCCTCTCTTCCTGATCCTTTTTGTGTTGGGAAATGGAGCTGTAGGTGGGCCATGTGTCACTCCTGATGCCCTCAAGCCCCTGTTCCCCTTCACCTGGTCAGCTCTGGCCTCTCTGGTGGACTTACCTAGATCTTCTTGTTGCTCTTTGCTTATTTACAGGACAGTTTTATCAAAATTTAACCAAAAGCCGTGAGTGATATCCCACCCAGACCCTTTAAAATTGTGTTTTATCTCGACAAATGGAAGAAGAAACACATGCCATACCTATCAGGGGCTACGTAAGCAGCGCGGGCCACAGGATGGCAGCCGTGGCCCAAGCAGCCGTGGTTCGTGAGCACGTTCCTCACTGTGCCAAACTTCAGGGACCGTCCCAGCCAATGGGATTTCTTTTTAGGAAGGCAATTTTGTTGAATTGGTTAACATTTGCATGATAAGTTAAGCATGTATACTATAAAACCCTAAGACAACCACTAAATTAATAAAACAAAGTTATAGCTAAAAGTCAAGAAGGAATTAAAATAGAATTATAAGACATAATTAACGCAAAGAAAGAAAAAGAGAAAGGGGGAATCAAACTGTAGTTTGATTTTCCTGTGTTTTTTTTTTTTTAATTTTATTTATTTTTGAGAGAGAGAGAGAATGAGAGAGCGTGAGAGGGGGGAGGGTCAGAGGGAGAAGCAGACTCCCCGCCGGGCAGGGAGCCCGATGCAGGACTCGATCCCGGGACCCTGGGATCATGACCTGAACCGAAGGCAGATGCTTAAGGACTAAGCCACCCAGGGGCCCCTGATTTTCCTGTGTTTTAAGTGGCTTCTTGAACTATGTGGTGAGTTAGCTAATTGGTTAATTATTCCCTGCTTATCACCAGTGCTTCTGCGTGACATTGTGTATCCATCCCCAGCTGTTGCATGCCTAGTGTGTATCCAGAAATATGTCCATGAGTCACCAAAACATGTGGTCAGGAATGCTCACACACACACTCTTCAGAACAGCCAAGTGCTAGAAAACACGACAAAGTGAGCAACCCTCTAGTTGCACGTGCCCCAGCAGGGTCCCGTGTGGCAAGAAGTTTGGGCAGGCCACAGCTCTGTGCGTGGTGCGTGTGACTCTCACACACGTGACCTCGAGTGAAGGGTGAAGGCGCAGGGGAGTCCGTTGTGTAAATGGCCCCACGGATGTAAGGCTCAAAGCGGGCAACCCTGGTCAGCGTGCTGGGGTTGGTGCCGTGATGACCCACGTGGGGCAGGGGTGGCCATGGAGGTGGGCGGGCTCCCAAACCGGGAACTCTGGTTGGTGACCAGCTGCTGGGACGCTGGTGATGGGTGTGCTCACTTTGCAAAAGACACAGCGAGAGAGGGAGCCCTGAGGCTGTGCCCTCATGCTTGGTGACGTGTCAGTGAAAAGGTCTGTGTGAAGTAGAGTAATTCACTGCTCGTGTGTCGGAATGAAAGAGTGATCAGCAGAATCCTGACTTCTTCCCCAGAGTGAGGGGTCTTGCTGGGGGCCGGCAGGTACCGAGGATGGCCCCCGGGGCATCGCAGGGACTGCAGAGGAGCTCCCGGAGAGTGCAGGGGGCACGAACCAGCACCAGTGAGGGCCTGGCCCTGCAGTGAGGAGCAGAGACGCCTGCAGCCTGCAGGCATCGGGTGGACACAGTGGGAAGGCAGATGAACAGTGAGTCTGGAGCCTGAAGCAGAGGGCCGGGGCTCCCGCCGTCCTGAGTGCGGCCACAAGCGGGTGCTTGGCCTCTGGCCCTGAGTGCCCTCTGCGGGATGGGAGCTCTGTCTTAGGGACTTAACAAAGGAAAACACCTCTTGTCCCTTTAAAGAAATATCCCAGACATGGGTGACATATAAATATGAATTTTCACCCTACTTTGAGGTAGGTGGCTGCTTTGCCTGAAGAACTGGGGTCTCCTCCATGATGAAGCTTCCTATTAGATCTTCCACACTCTGAACCGGCCTGCTGGCCCACCTGTCGGTCTTGGCTTTCTGTTCAAGGCGGGGTCACAGTCACCCAGAGCAGAAGCGGAGCAAGGGCCCGGGGTGGGAGCCCCGCGGAGCTCGGTCAGCGCCCCTGGCCATCAGGGAGTGGCAGGCTGCCTGTGCAGAGCTGGGGTTGGGGGGGGCTCCTCCTCTGGGGACCGAGCACCAGCCAGCTCCCGTTGTGGGTGTGTTCTGAAGACACACCCCGAGTCAGGGTGGCCCGTGTGCCCCACCCCTGAGGTGTGGATGATTGTGCTCAGGGCATGGATGGGGGGAGGTGAGCACTCAGCTCCCAGTTATCTGAGTGTCCTTTAAAAATCTCTTAGCCCCACCAAGTGAGACTTGGTTAGTTAAGACAAAACCATCTCAATGTGGTAAGAAAACGTATCCATGGGGCTCCTGGGTGGCTCAGTCGTTGGGCATCTGCCTTCGGCTCAGGTCATGGTCCCAGGGTCCTGGGATCGAGCCCCGCATCGGCCTCCATGCTCGGCGGGAAACCTGCTTCTCCCTCTGCCACTAACCCTGCTTGTGTTCCCTCTCTTGCTGTGTCTCTCTCTGTCAAAAAAATAAATAAAATCTTAAAAAAAAAAAAAGAAAACATATCTGTGCTTGTTAAGTCAGGCTTCTTGTATCTTGGGCATAGTGCGTGCAGGCTGGGGTAGCCTGACCATGCCTGCCCCTGGCGTGTGGGGCGTGCAGGGCATGAGCGCCCGGCCGAGGTGTGATGCGCGAGGGCGGTCCTCCGTGGCACGACCCTATGGGACCTGAATTAACCCCAGAAGTGGCTCACACACCCAGACCTCCAGCTCTGGTAACCCCAACAGAGCTCAGAGGTGCTGTGGTGTCTCACAGGCTCCAGGTTTCTGTGGACCCCTGCCCGCCTCCCGGGCACAGTCACGGCTGTTTCTGGGCATCACGAGGTGGCACTGGACAGGTGTGACCACACCTGGGCCATGCACACCCCTCAGGCACATCCTCAGCTGCGCCGAGTACCGTGCTGGGCTCCGCATCACCTCTCCCGTGTCTCTCCGTTCCAGGCATCAGCAACGCGGAAGCACGGCAGCCGGGGAAGGCACCCAACTTCAGCGTCAACTGGACGGTGGGTGACGTGGCCATCGAGGTCATCAACGCCACGACAGGGAAGGACGAGCTGGGCCGTGCGTCCCGCCTGTGTAAGCACGCCTTGTACTGTCGCTGGATGCGTGTGCACGGCAAGGTACCGGCCCCACCTCCCCACAGCCCGTCCCACTAAAGCCCCGCACCGTCCACACGGTCACGCCCCAACCTTTCTGTTTCTCCTGGCTGTTTCCATCTTGAAGTGTGGCCCCGACCTTCCCACGTGAAGCAGCCTCAGGCCGCTCCTCCCGCCCTGCCCCGGCTTCCCGCTGGGAACCCCTCCGCGCCTTCCCACCCAGAGGAAGGAGAGCCGGGGCTCACGCAGCCCTCAGAAGGCTCGAGGCCCATTTTCTGCGGTAGTGGCAGGGTCCTTTCCCTGCATAAGTTCTCCTCTGGTCAATTGGCATTTTCCTAGTTTTCCTTTATCGGTCGTGGCAGGTGGCAGTTTGGACAGCTGCTGAGTTCAGGGCCCTGGGCCCATGGCAGGACGAGCCCCTGGGCTGGTGGTCTTGCACCGTATTTATTCTCAAGATCTGCACCAAATGAGTCAGGCAGCCACGGGAGGCAGTGCCTCTGAGTCCTTCCAGGTGATAAAGTGTCCATAACGTCAGAGGTGCTGTGTTTTTAAATAGCTGAAAATATTCACATTGAAATTGGAATCAACTGCTTGTGGGTTCAGAAGCACCTCTTTAGAGTCTGGGGTCTGAAACTGCCTGTTTGGCCTGGAGCCTGCGTGGGGAGAGCACGCAGACCGTCATGGGGCTCACGCCTCGCCCCTGCATCGCAGCCCCCCAGAGGAAGGCGCCTTCTGGCTGGTGGCTTTCCCCCCAGAAGCCAGCACAGGATGAGACACCAAATTTTGAATGTCTTACTGAGTTTTGTTTTCTGCTGTGACTGCTTCGACACTTGTCCTTGTGTTTTGACTTTTTACAGGTTCCCTCCAACTTACTACGCTCCAAGATCACTAAGCCCAATGTGTACCATGAATCCAAACTGGTAGCAAAGGAGTACCAGGCCGCCAAGGCGTGTCTGTTCAAAGCGTTCATCAAGGCAGGGCTGGGCGCCTGGGTGGAGAAGCCCACGGAGCAGGATCAGTTCTCTCTCACACCCTGACCGGGGGCGTGGCGCGGAGGCTGCCCACGTCCGGCGCGGTCTCCGGAGCCTCACGTCTCAGCTGGGGGCGGGCGTGCACTTTGGGGAGGGCAGGGAGGGCAGGGAGGGCGTGGGGTCCAGCATCACCACTCGATGTCCCTCTGCAGCAGTGTTACCCCTTGGAATTACCCAGTGACTGCTTTCTATCTCTGTTTACGTTTAGAAATTGAGTTCTACTGAGTAGGGCTTCCTTAAGTTTAGGGAAATAGAAATTACTTTGTCTGAAATTTTTGAATAAATAATTTATTCAGCGTTAGGAACGTGGTTTATAAAGTAATTATATCAAGTCACTCTTAGGCCACGTTATTTTAATGCAGAAGAGCACTTATCTGTAGAGAAGGTGAGAAAGTAGAGGTAGGAAGAAGCCTGAAGTCACAGCCGTGCTGCCGGCGGGTCCCCCGGATGGGCCGCGCGATTGGCTTCCCTCAGCAGGTCCGCACAGCCCGGGAGAAGACCCCGCGGGAGGGGCCCGGCCCTGCGCTCGCACAAGTCCCCCAACTCCCTGGCGCAGTGACGGCGTGCGTCCATGAGGGCACGGCCCAGATCCCTGCAGCCTTCAGCCCCCCTAGAAGCTTCTGCACTCCTCCTAGAATCACATGGAAAACGCGTGTTGGTTCACCTCTCAGTAATCAGAGATAAAACATGGGCAGTGATCCTGGCCATTCATTTGAGGTCTTCAACAGTATTTAACTTTTAGGGACTAGGAGGAATCCGTAGGGGCTACTGCCCAAGAATCAGCCTACAACTCCCTGTCTTCCTTGCTCTGAATCTCATGGATGTGGATAACTCTCCAGACATCTTCACGGGAAGGAAATAGAATTAATTAAGTAGATAGACTCGTTCTTAGAAAATGCCACTAAGGCATAGTTTTAAATTATTCTTTCCAGCTTTATCAAAGACATGTTTGAAAGTCAGTATTCAGGCTGGAAGCTGGTGAGGCAGTGTGCCACGGCCTCGTGCCCACCAGGGTCTGGACGTTGATTGTCACGGCAGGGAAGGGGTGCTGCTGGTGCCCGGGGCGGCCCAGGGCCGCTGCTCCACACCCCATGGCCCCCGGGGTGGTCCCGGGCTGAGCCAGCAGACGGTCAGGAGTGCGGGCAAGGGTCCCGGGGGGCACCTGGACCTGAGCTCAGAGATTTGCACCGATTGCCTTGTTGCTTCCACTCAGGATCAGACAGGAGCCCGAGGGGCCGTCTTCATGGAAGGGGGGGTCTTGTGGCGGCTGTAGGCAGTCGGGAGACCCCGCCCCACCTTGACGGACTCTGAAAACGCAGAACAGGAGCAGAGCCGCGGCTGTCACCTGGCCCAGACCCCACATGCAGGAGCAGGAGACTCAGACCAGAAGCGCTGTGTCCCCCGCTCCCCCGCTCCGGCAGCGGTTCCTTGGGGGGCGGGGGCGGGGCTGGCGGGCTGCAGGGACCCCGGCAGAGCTCAGGCAGGCCCCCGTCATGTGGAGGGGTGTGGTTTGGCTCAACGGGCTGCCGCCTTCTTTCCGCCTGAAGCAGGAAGGGTGTCAGCTGGTGTCGCCACCTCCCCAAGCAGGTGCTCCCACACACAGAACATCTGTGAGCCCCTGTGTTTTTATTCTCTTGATAAATGGTATTTTTTCTAATGGGGATTGGGAGATGGACTTAGTTTTTAAAAAAAATATGTGGATTTTAATTAAAAGTTGAGTGGGAATGTATTGCATATACACACACTACCCAGTATGTCTGACTTCCTCCCTCTGTCGGCTAACAGTTGAGGTGACCACCGCCTCCCACCCCAAGTGAGGACAGCTGTCCTGTGTGCCGGTCCCCAGCGGACCCTGAGCTGTGTGGGCGCAGGACGGCCCGCGAGTGTCCAGACCCTGCAGGCGGGTCAGGAGGGAGCCCCGTCCACCTGTGGGCCCGCACAGCTCCCAGGACGGACCACTGGAGCAGAACAGAGGCAGAAACGTGACCTCCAGGAGACGGGTCAGGAGACTCAGCACTTGAAACGGTCCCTTCTGAGGCTTTGTGCACTGCACCCCATTTCCCCCCAGGCGTTACTTTGCATACAGTGCCCTTAATCAGGATTCTAGAGACTTAGAAAATTTGACACAATCAAGAACTTGATTTTTTGAGAAAAATCTTCAATTTTGAGGACATTTTGACCATTGGGGGTTGGGAGGGTTCCCTTCTGTTTTGCTCACTAAACCTATTCCACAAAGACACCGGCTGGCGGGCATCTCTCCCGCCAGTGGAAGGCCCGAGTCACAGGGATGCCTCAGCCGGGGTCAGGGGCTGTCCCTGCAGCAGTATGAGCCCAGTGACGGGCGTCCCCTCTTCCCAGGCCAGGGATGCCACAGGGCGCAATTCTGATTCTGAATCAGAGTTTGATTGACTCATTTAATCAGAAACAGTTATTTTAAAATGTGCAACATCTCACCAGCCATTCATTTCTCTGGAAGTATTTTTATTCACATGATTTCCCTCATACCCAGAAGACAGAATCACTGCTTTCTTTGGAAAGACAGTGTTTCCTGTAATTTCACATAGTGACGCCGGGGGAGGGGGGGGGGGCAGCTCTCAGGCTCCACAAGGGGGATAGACCTGAGGGTGGGGTCAGTGAATGCTGTAGGGGAGGGCTGCACGCCCGCCCCTTTTTCTCAAAACACAAAACCAAATCAGACCGGTCCTTTTTATTTCTGAAACATTCTACACCAAAATATAGGGTCTACCCCGACCGTAAATTTGATCTAGCAAGAGAAATAGAATCAGCTGGCTTTCCCGTCTCTGTAATCTATGAAATTAGAGAATCTCTCAAAAGATGCCCTGTTCTCAACCCCCAACCATGTAAGTGGAAAGGGCAGAGTATTTGTGACCGCGCACGCACGCACGTCCAGTGTTGTCTGCCCTTGTCTCCTGGCGTGTCCTGTGACCCTCTCTCCAGCCACGTGGCCAGTCACGTCCTCAGGGCCGGCAAGGATAGGGTCTGGCTCGAGCCTGACACGTAGCTGTCCTCTGGAGCTGCTGTGTGCACTTGTTCCCTGTTTGCAGGGCTGAGCCCCCAGCCCCCAAAACACTTAGCTTGGCCACGCCATGGGCTGATGGTACATCAGGAGCCGACGCCCGTCCTTCTGGACGTGACCACGAATGTTTAAAGGCAGTTTGTGGAATGTTTGTAGAATGAGCCCGGAAGCAGTTTGCTTCTCCAGATACTGGGTTATATGCTTTTATTTTATTTTATTTTAGAATTTGGACACTTCATATGAATGTAATTCAGCCAAGAACCCTATCGCTCAGATCCACTCCCCAGTGTCCTCTGTATGTTTGTTGATGTATATACCACACGTTACAATCTGCATGAGCTACCCCTCGCACCGAGACCAGCCGGAACCAAGCATGAGACGCTGTCCTATAGACAAAGGATTGGAGATGTTCTCAATAAAAGACACAGTGTTCCACCGCTGCAGTGTGGCTGGGTTTTCTCTCCTTTCTAGTTCTCCCCTTGGTCCCCTCGAAGGTCTGGGGTCCGTTTCAATGAGCAAAATTTGGAGGGGTGCGTAAGCACCAGCTGAGAGCTGCCCGCTGGTCTTGTCCCGTGTGCTGCCCCAGCGCTCGGCACATTCACCCAACTCAGGACAGTTCCTCTGAGCCCCTGGGATCTGTGGGTCCCTCGCCGTCTTCCTGAGCACACGCCGCGCCCACTCCCACGTGGAAGTTGTGTAGAGGGCAGTGACGCAGCGGCCCTGCTCGAGATCCCGCATGGAAGAAGGGACGATGATGTAGCCCCCATTGGCCTGCTGGGCTGGGTGAGGGCGGCATGAGCAGGAAGACACGGGAAGGACCTGGACGCCAACGGGCCACTGGCCAGGTGGACTGGGGTATCAGGTGCAGGGAGACAGCGCAGCCACTAGTTAGTTATAAGGTGGGCTTTATGGTTTAGGGCTGACGTTTCTGAAGGATGCTCATAATAAACCAAGTGGAAAACTGGCTGCAGAGACCAATTACCAGAGACTGGTAATTAATGGATTAGGTAGCAGCTAATTAATGAATGCTCAAAACTCACCCTTTGCTAATCACTGCACTGCTTTACCACTGTTTGGGCATTTAGCGGTAAAGAAACGTGGACGTTTTCTGTACAAGCGCACTGGGACAGCCTGGAAGGGGCTGAGTCTGGTCTCCTGTGAATGAGGATTCGGGGCGATTTTAATTTAATTTTGCTTTTTTAAAGCTTACCCATTTGTCTGATGTTTCTACAATTAAATGAAAAATAAAGAGGAAAATGTTTTTAAAAGTAAAAATCCCCATACAAATAAAAAGCACTGTTAACAAATAATTTGCTCTCTTTTGCATCAGTTTTGATTCTGTTCTGTTCCCACAATAAAAGCAACATTAAAGTGAAAATACGTGAGGCGCCTGGGTGGCTCGTGGCTTCTGCTCAGGTCATGATCTCAGGGTCGTGGGATCGAGCCCCACGTCGGGCTCCGGGCTCAGTAGGGAGTCTGCTTGAGATTCTCTGCCTCCCTCTCCCTCTGCCCCTCCCCCCTCAAATAAATAAATCTTTAAAATAAAATGAAAATATGTAACATAAGGGGACACGTTAAGCTTCTGAGAAAGGGCGGGGACAGCATGCCCCCTGCCAGCTCATCCCCGGGGATGCCGCCTGTTGGATGTGCCTCGAGGTGCTCACTTGAGGGTGACGAGGCCGGGCACGTGTCCCCGTGTCCCCGGGTGCCCCGGGTGCTGGGGGCAGATCCGTGAGCACGACAGGGGCCGCCGCGCTCCCGGAGCCTCCCCCGGGGAGGGCGCTGGACGCCCCCGCCAGCAGGGAAGGGGTGAGGGAAGGAGGTGGTCAGAGGGCAGCCCGGGCGGCCTCGCTGTGAAGACAAGCACTGATTTATTTTATTTATTTTATTTAATGGGCACTGATGTTAGTTACGCGATCAAGCGTTGGAGTAATTAAAGTGAATGCGCTGTTCAGGAGGAGCCGAGCAGACAACCCCCGGGAGCGCGCGGGCTGGGAGCGCAGGCACCAAACGCGGGAGGCCCGGGCCGGGAGCCAGGCTGCGCGCCCGCGGGGTGCGTCGGTGAACTCGGCCCGGGCCGCGGGGGCGCAGGCAGTTGGCGCCCGCTCCGCGCCGATCGCCAAGCGCCCCGCTGCTTCTGCTGCCCCGTGAGCCCGCGGCCGCCCCGCGGGCACCTGCTGGCACCCCGCCGCGGCGCCCCACGGGGACCGCTGGCCCGGGACCGGGTGCGGGAAGCGCGGGTCACGCCAGGGCGCGGCTGCCCGAGTCCGGCAGCGTCTGAAGGCGATCCCGCGCCGGGCTCCGAAGGCGCCTCTGCGGCTTCCCGGCGCCGACGCCCCCCGCGCGGGCGTGGGCACGGGGGTTGGGCGGAACCCCCCGGGCATCGCGTGCGGCCGGTCGGGACTGCCTGGCTGCTGCGCGCGCGACAGGGCGTGCTCCAACGCGCCGGGGTCGGGGCGAGCGGGGCGGGGGCCGGGGCGAGCGGGGCGGGGGCCGGGGCGAGCGGGGCCGGGGCCGGGGCGAGCGGGGCCGGGGTCGGGGCGAGCGGGGCGGGGGTCGGGGCCGGGGCCGGGGCCGGGGGTCGGGGCGAGCGGGGCGGGGGTCGGGGCGAGCGGGGCGGGGGCCGGGGCGAGCGGGGCCGGGGCCGGGGCGAGCGGGGCCGGGGCCGGGGCGAGCGGGGCGGGGGCCGGGGCGAGCGGGGCCGGGGCCGGGGCGAGCGGGGCCGGGGCCGGGGCGAGCGGGGCCGGGGTCGGGGCGAGCGGGGCGGGGGTCGGGGCCGGGGCCGGGGCCGGGGGTCGGGGCGAGCGGGGCGGGGGTCGGGGCGAGCGGGGCGGGGGCCGGGGCGAGCGGGGCCGGGGCGAGCGGGGCGGGGGTCGGGGCGAGCGGGGCCGGGGTCGGGGCGAGGTCCTCCGCCAGTGCGGGTGCGGCCCGTGCTTGCCCGCCCTCCCTGCCCCCGCCCCGGGACTGGGGAACTGGTCTCCTCCTGCAGGTGCGGCGGGTGACGGGGCCTGGGCCCTCCCCCTGGGCCCCCTCGGCAGCCCGGGCCACGCTGAGGTCCCAGCCTCCCACCACACTCCGCCCGACAGGTAGCAAACCCCTCGCGGAAATGAGACACTTGAAAAGCACAGCTACGAAAATCAAAGTGGGTAGTATTGAGTTAGAGACTAATTCTAATAGTTTAGAGCAGACAGTCCCCGATTTTAAAATGAACTTAATGCAAATTATAAAAAGGATAAGAGAACAAGAGAACCAAGCAGAATTAGAAACCGTGAGCACGGTAGATGAGCTAAATAATGAGTTTCCAGGGGGAGGCCAGCTGGGAAAAAGCAAGGGACAAAGACATCCTGAGACATTTGGGTGCTGAGGGCAAGGGCTGACGCCTCGCTGATGGGGCGACCGAGCCGCGCACCAGACGCTCGCACAGCCAAGCTGTGGCAGGTGACGTGGGGCTGGGACTTCCTTTTCTTAAGATTTTATTTATTAATTTGACAGAGAGAAAGAGCACGACCAGGGGGAGCGGCAGAGGGAGAAGCAGGGTCCCCGTTGAGCAGGGAGCCCGACGTGGGGCTTGATCCCAGAACCCCGGGATCGTGACCTGAGCCGAAGGCAGACGCCTCACCGACTGAGCCACCCAGGCGCCCCTGGCTGGGACTTTCTTAAAAGGAAAACAAGAAACAAAACTCCATAAATAGAGAAGAAAAGGTCTAGACAAAACGATGTTGGCCAAGGTAGATAATTGTTGGAACCAGCATACGGGAGCTCAGGTCCTCGTCTCTCTACTCTCCTCTGTTGGAGGTTTTTCCTAAGGCATTTTAAGTCTGAGCGTAGACTTTTAAAAATACAATTTTCATGGTATTCTAAGTGCTCATGGATTTTTTTTTTTATATCAACACAGGTATGTACACAGAAAAAAATATAATGCTGTAAAATGTAAATTTTCCAAGTTTAAAAAAATATAAGGAACTATCAGGAAGGATTTTTGTTTTTTTAAGTAATCTCTGTGTCCAACGTGGGGCTCAAACTCATGACCCCGAGATCGAGTCACAGGCTCCACCGAGGGCCAGACGCCCCAAGAAGGTTTATAAAGCGCAACCACTTACTTCCTTAGAACCTCTGAAACGCGTATTCATGGGGGAGGTGCCTTACCGTCAGCTGAATCTCAGCTCACAGCTCATCCCGCTTGGCCTCTCTTCCTAACACTTATCATTTGTTCATTGGCCCCCCGTGAAATGGGGACACTGTGCAGCCAGGGGCACGGGTTTCTTCGTGGCTGTGCCTGCCACCTGCACAAGCCTTCCGTGATGCAGACCCTGGAACGCACATGCATCAGTGCGAACGCGCGGCCTTGTAACCTCCCCACGCAGACCCACACTGAAGGCAGTTTCAGTGAGATGCTGAAATGGAGAGACAGAATTTCGAGACCCTCACAAGAGGTTTATGAAGGAAAAGTGATCAGCACGTTGGTCAGTTTGTGATGATAAGCTTGGCTGCAAGAGAGCGCAAAGTCTGGGTAATCGCAACGTGACAAAGGCTGGAGTGATGGGGACCCCACAGGACATGAGACTATATTGAGGTTCTGTCTTTTTGGGGCAGACTCCAAACATCCACTGTTCTTATAATGAACACGTGTCAAAGACTGTATTTAACTCTAGCTAATAAGGGAAATAATAAGATGTTAAAATACATTCCATTGAGAATTCAACTCACTCTACTGGCTCAAATGCATTTGGCCTTTTATCTGCTTGTCTCGGGCAGAAAAGAGTAAGAGCTCCTGAACACCGAGCGTCTCTGAGTATGGAGGGACTTCTCAATATCCGGGGACTCGGGAGCCTCGAGTTCCCTCCCTCCCCCTCCACGTTCTGCCTACGTGCTTATCTAATTTTACGTGTCAGATAAGCTACTTGCCCCTCTACGCATTACTAATTTTTTACAGATGAGTTGGATACTCCTCAAAAATACTGCAAACACACATTGCAACGCACCAGCTCCCAGACTGGTTAACTTTTAGCCATACACATGTTTCTTTTTCATTAAACATAAAGGAAACGTAGATCATGATGCTTAATAGAATTAATGAAGGAGGGACTTTTTAAAAATGATTTTTATACTTAATTCTTATTTAATCTTTAGCTCCTGAGGGTAATAGTCAATATACACATATACACAAGTATATTATCATTCTCCTCACTCAGTAAATATCCTGAGCATTTACCTACATATTTCATTAAATTTGTAAGTTTCTTACAAAAGAAAGCAGCATATAGACTCATTTTCTTTTAATAGCATATTATAAAGTGGGTCAATTATATTAAATATACATGTTTTCAATGTTTACTGCCTCCAGTAATTTATTTCATAGGGTGTGTTCTACCATTTTATTTCTCAGTGTTTTTCTTTTGGAATATCCCTGGGAAAGTATATTAATACTCTTATTTCA